AAAGAACAAAGGGGTGAAATTCCACACATAATTCCACTACCAACAACCATTGCAAATTGAAGAAGAATGAGCAATCAATGGTCATTAATATCCCTCAACATTAATGGCCTTAACTCACCCATAAAAAGACACAGACTAGCAGAATGGATTCGAAGACAGAACACTTCCTTCTGCTGCATACAAGAAACACACCTCACCCTCAAAGACAGACATTACCTGAGAGTTAAAGGTTGGGAAAATTTTTTTTCAATCAAAAGGACCCAAGAAACAAGCAGGGGTAGCAATCCTAATATCTAACAAACTAGACTTTAAAATAAAATCAATCGAAAGGGATGAAGGAGGTCATTACATACTCATCACAGGAGAAACCCACCAAGATGAAGTGTCTATCCTGAACATCTATGCCCCAAATACAAAGGCATCCACATTCGTTAAAGAAACATTATTAGAACTTAAATGTCATCTAAATCCCCACACAGTTACAGTGGGAGATTTCAACACACCACTCTCACCACTAGACAGGAATACCAGACAGAAACTCAACAAAGAAGCGAAGGGTCTAATAGAAATAATGACCCAACTGGGATTAACAGATATCTATAGAACATTTCATCCACATAAAAAAGAATATACCTTCTTCTCACCACCACATGGAACCTTCTCAAAAATCAACCACATACTTGGCAACATATCCAACCTCAGCAGCTACAAAAAAATTGGAATAACTCCATGCATCTTATCAGCCCACCATGCTTTAAAATTAGAATTCAACAACAACACAAATTGCAGAAAACCTACAAACTCATGGAAATTGAATAATGCTCAACTGCACCATCCATGGATCAAAGAGGAAATAAAAAAAGAAATTAAAGACTTCCTCGAATTCAATGAGAATGAAGACACAACATACCCAAACCTATGGGACACTTTGAAAGCAGTGCTACGGGGAAATTCATAGCACTAAGTGCCCACATGAAGAAACTGGAGAACAGTTATACTAGAGAATTAAGAGCACAGCTGAAAGCTCTAGAACACAAAGAAGCAAATTCCCCCAGGAGGAGTAGACGCCAGGAAATAATCAAATTGAGGGCTGAAATCAATAAAGTAGAAACCAGGAAAACAATACAAAGAATCAATGCAACGAAGAGTTGGTTCTTTGAGAAAATCAACAAGATAGACAAACCTTTGTCCAAACATACCAAACAGCAGAGAGTGAGCACACAAATTAACAAAATCAGAAATGAAAAGGGGGACATAACAACAGACTCTGAGGAAATCCAGAGAATCATTAGGTCATACTTGAAAACCTGTACTCCAAAAAATTCGAAAATTTAAAGGAGATGGATGACTTCCTGGATAGCTATCACTTGCCAAAACTAAATCAAGAACAGATAAGCAAGTTAAATAGACCTATAATCCCTATGGAAGCAGAAGCAGTCATCAAAAGTCTTCCAACCAAAAAAAGTCCAGGTCCAGATGGCCCCAGTGCAGAATTCTACCAGAAATTCAACGAACAGCTTATACCAATTCTTCTCAAAGTGTTCCACACAATAGAAGCAGAAGGGTCTTTGCCAAACTCTTTCTATGAGGCTTCAATAACCTTGATCCCCAAGCCACACAAAGATACAACTAAGAAAGAGACCTTCAGACCAATATCCCTCATGAACATTGATGCAAGAATACTCAATAAAATACTGGCAAATCGGATCCAAGAACACATCAAAACAATCATTCACCACGTTCAAGTAGGTTTCATCCCAGGGATGCAGGGATGGTTCAACATACGAAAATCCATCAACGTAATCCACCATATAAACAAGCTGAAAAACAAAAATCACATGATCATCTCACTAGATGATGAAAAAGCCTTTGACAATATCCAACACCCCTTCATGATAAAGGTCTTGGAGAGATCTGGGAAAACAGGGACATACTTAAACATAATAAAAGCTATATACAGTAAACCAACAGCCAACATCAAACTAAATGGACAGAAACTCAACACAATTCCTCTAAAATCAGGAACAAATCAAGGCTGTCCACTCTCTCCATACCTGTTCAACATGGTACTTGAAGTTCTAGCTATTGCCATAGGCCAACAAAGGGGGATCAAGGGGATACAAATTGGGAAGGAAGAGGTCAAACTTTCACTGTTTGCAGATGATAGGATAGTTTACATCAATGACCCAAAGTACTCTACCAGGGAACTCTTACAGCTGATTAACACCTTCAGCAAAGTGGCAGACTACAACATCAACTCAAGAAAATCAGTAGCCCTACTATATACAGATGATAAAAGGGCTGAAAAAGAAATCAGAGAAACATCACCCTTTACAATTGCCACAAACAACATAAAATACCTTGGGGTAACACTAACCAAACAAGTGAAAGACCTGTATCATAAGAACTTTGAATCTTTAAAGAAAGAAATTAAAGAAGCCTTCAGAAAATGGAAAGATCTCCCATGCTCTTGGATAGGTAGGATCAATGTAGTAAAAATGGCAATCCTGCCAAAAGCAATCTACTGATTCAATGCAATCCCCATTAAAATCCCAGCACAATTCTTCACAGACCTTGAAAGAACAATAATCAATTTTGTATGGAAAAACAAAAGACCCAGGATAGCCAAAACAACCCTGTTCATCAAGGCAACGCCCAGAGGCATCACCATCCCTGACCTCAAGCTCTATTATAGAGCTATAGTCCTGAAAACAGCTTGGTATTGGCACAGAAATAGACAGGTAGACCAATGGAATCGAATTGAAAACCCGGGTATTAACCCACACACGTATGAACATCTGATCTTTGACAAAGAAGCTAAAACTGTACAATGGAATAAAGAAAGCATCTTCAACAAATGGTGCTGGCATAACTGGAGACTGGCATGTAGAAGAATGCGAATTGATCCATGTTTATCGCCATGCACAAAACTTAAGTCCAAATGGATCAAAGACCTCAACATAAATCCAGCCACACTGAACCTCTTAGAAGAGACAGTGGGTGGTACTCTTGAACAAATTGGTACAGGATGCAGCTTCCTGAACATAACACCACTAGCACAGACAGTGAGATCTACAATTAATATATAGGACCTACTGAAACTGAGAAGCTTCTGTAAGGCAAAGGACACAGTCAGCAAGACAAAAAGGCAGCCCACAGAATGGGAAAAATATTCACTAATCCCACATCTGACAGAGGGTTGATCTCCAAAATTTACAAAGAACTCAAGAAGCAAGTCTCCAAAACATCAAAGGACCCAATTAAAAAGTGGGCTGCAGAACTAAATAGAGAGTTTTCAATAGAGGAGTCTAAAATGGCTGCGAGGCAATTGAGAAAGTGCTCAAAATCCTTAGCCATCCGGGAAATGCAAATCAAAACAACTCTGAGATACCATCTCACTCCTGTCAGAATGGCTAAAATCAAAAACACCAATGACAATTTATGCTGGAGAGGATGTGGTGAAAGGGGGACACTCCTCCATTGCTGGTGGGAGTGCCAACTGGTTCAGCCACTTTGGAAATCAGTATGGAGATTCCTCAGAAAAATGGGAATAAACCTACCACAACACCCAGCAACTCCACTCTTAGTCATCTATCCAAAAGATGCCCATTCATACAACAAAGATGTCTGTTCCACTATGTTCATAGCAGCTTTATTTGTAATAGCCAGAACTTGGAAGCAACCTAGATGTCCCTCACCCGAAGAGTGGATAGAGAAAATGTGGTACATTTACACAATGGAGTACTATTCAGCAGAAAAAAACAATGGAATCCTGAGATTCGCAGGCAAATGGATGACACTAGAAGAAACCATCCTGAGTTAGGTAACCCAGTCACAAAAAGAGAAACATAGCATGTACTCTCTCATATATGGATTTTAGACATAGATCTGGGGAGTGCCAGCCTACAATCCTATGGCCAGAGAATCTGGGAAACAGAAACTTCATTTAGTGGCTGATCGAAGAAGGGGCAGACTCCCTCGGTTAAGTACTGAGCTGAACTCAAGAAAGCCAGTAACAGAGCGGGAGGACTGATGATCAAAGGGACTAAGACTGGGCTGGTTTAACCCCCAGAAACAGCTGACCAGACAAAGGTTAACACTTGAATCCCAGGCATCAGCCTGGGAATCCAGCATGGGACTGATCAAGACCCCCTGAATCTGGGTGTCAGTGAGGAGGCCTAGGTAATCTATTGAGCCTTGGGCAGCAGATCAGTACCCATCCCAAGTATACACACGGACTTTGGACTCCCATAGAACAATGTGAGGTGCACTCTCACCCTGAACTCTTGGGGAAGGATCTAGGCCTTGCCCTATATGAAATGACAGACTATGGACACACCCATGGAGGGCCTCACCCTCCCTGGGGAATGACGTGATAACGGTGGGGGCGTTGGGGGTGGGCACCAGAGCAGGGGAGGGAAAGGGAGAGGGACCTGGAACTGACTTGTGACGCAACCTTGTTTCTTATTTAAATTTAAACTGGAAAATAAAATAAAATAAAAAAAGAAAAAACCCACAAAAAAGCAAAAAATGTGCACTTAAGTCCCCAAATACAACACTCTAAATGTATGATTCCACTTTTGTATTTATGATCCACATATAACTCCATGGTATGGATGTTTCATAATTTGTTCAGCTGTCAGACTTTATATGTCTTCCTATTTTCAGTCTGAAGTTATATGCTGTTATGGCAATTTGATAGCTTCATATTTGGGGCCAAACTTCATTGTGAATCTGTAAACAAACAGTTGAAGAAGAAAATATTAGATACTATGTGGCTTATTAGGCTGCTAGTAAGTGTTGCCACAGAGCCAGCCCTTCTGAGTTTGGTCACAACACATTCCCTGCAGGAGATTTCCTGGTCAAAGTCCCACGTGCTCAAACTAATGCTTCTCTCTTGGTACTGTTCTGAGAGGGGACAATCTACCAGGTTTAAAGATCCCATCCTCCTGATGCCATGTGTTTCTTTGTATTGCCAGGTGATAAGTGTCACTGTTATAATGGTCAGCAGGCGTGCCAGCCAGCAGCTAGGAGGCTTTGCTGAGGCCACAATAGCATGGATCCTTTGCAATGTCTCTATGAACCTCCCTCAATGGCGAGTGTGGTATTTCCAAGAGCCCATGGATTCCAAGCTCAGCCTAACTTTAGTGGGGATGTGGAGAACCTGTGTGTATCACGAGGAAAGCAATTCCAACATTTTAAGAGTATGTTACCAATATACCTACCAGGACAATTTCATTCCTTTGGATATTTGTGTTGCTCAACACCAACTGATCTCGACTGTTTCTGTCATTGTTGCTCTTTGGAAATTGTGCTCAGGGAACCTCCGGAAGAAAGTAATCTACAATCCATTCTTCTTCCACAGGATTATTAACACAATTTCTAGCATCTTAGTCTTCATTTCCCTCCTGTATAATTATTTATCTATATTTCACAAGGATAGGATTGCCTTACCCCCATCTTTCCAAACACCCTCCTTCCCAGAAACCCAGAAAGCTGGCACTGCTGTGGGAATGACAACTCTTTCTTCTGTCTTATTTTTAGTGGGTGGCACAATTTCCCTTTGTTTCACACTTCCCCTGCATTCCCGATACATTCTAGTATTCAAAACAATTTTTCCAACTAACATAAACTTGAAAATCCAAAATTGGAAGGAATAATCGAGTGCAAACTTGTACAGCAACTTTGGAAATCAGTATCGAGAGTCCTCAGGAAAATGGGAATCAGTCTACCACAAGACCCAGCAATTCCACTCTTAGGCATATACCCAAAAGATGCCCATTTACACAACAAGGATGTCTGTTCCACTATGTTCATAGCAGCATTATTTGTAATAGCAAGATACTGGAAGCAGCCTAGATGCCCAACAACTGAAGAGTGGATAGAGAAAATGTGGTATATTTACACTACTCAGTGGAAAAAAACAATGGAATATTGAAATTTGCAGGCAAATGGACAGCACTAGAGGAAACTATCCTGAGTGAAGTAATCCAGACACGAAAAGACAAACATGGTATGTACTCACTCATATATGGATTTTAGACATGGATCAGGGGAATGTCAGCCTACAATCCCAGTGCCAGTGAGTCTGGGAAACAGGGAGGCTCCCAAGAGATATGCATTATACCCCAGAGAAGTGTAAAGAGACAAGATCTCCTGAGCAGATTGGGAACATGGGGGGAGAGGAGAGGGAACAAGGAAAAAGAGAGGGAGATAACAGGAGGGTAGAAGAAGACATGGGGGAGCAGGAAGGTTGACTTGGGGTAAGAATATAGGAGACCAGAATGAGAGATACCATAATAGTTGGAGTCATTATAGCTTTGAGGAGAGAGCTGACATCAGTGGGATTTCTAGAGACCTACAAGGATAACACCAAATGGACAACTAAGTAACAGCAGAGAGACTACATTAATAGCCCCTACCTAATGATAAGGTTGATGGCTTCCTTATATGACATCCTAGAACCTTCATCCAGTGACTGATGGAAGCAGAGACAGATACTCACAGCTAAACAATGAACTGACCCCCTGGAACCCAGTGACAGAGATGGAGGAGTGATGAGCAAAGGGGTTAAGACTGTGCTGGTGAAACCCACAAAGACAGCTGATTGGATAAGGGGGAACTCTTCTACCCCAGACTGATGGCTAAGAGGCCAACAGGGGACTGATCCAAACTCCTTGAATGTGGTGTCAGTGAGGAGGCCTCAGAAATCTCTGGGGCCTTGAGTAGTAGATTAGTGTTTACCATGGCATACAAATGAACTTTAGGATCCCATTCCACATGGAGGAATGGTCTGTCAGCATGGGGAAGGGCCTAGGTCCGACCCTGGATGAAATGACAGACTCTGCACATTCCCCCAAGGAGGGTCTCACCATCCCTGGGGAAAGATGTGGTAATTGGGCTGGGGGTCGGGGGTGAAATTTGGGGCTGGGAGGGAGAAGGGGGGAGCTGGGATTGACATTTGAAACATGCATATTTCTAATTTAAATAAAAAATAAAAAAGTTTTAAAGTTAAAAAAATTTTCAGATTCAGTACCATGCCCAAGGATGACAATATTTCATTAAGTAGCTTATGGATTTTCATTAATTAAATTCTTGCCACTTATCCTTATGAGCTCTGAATTTTAATTACTGTTACAGAAGGTAAATAATCTGGGAACATATTAGATCTGGAAATGAGTGTCAGAATATATTGACCCCTTCAATCATCTTCTAATTCCATAAAAATAGCAAATAAGGCAGGCATGGTGGCTCACACCTTTAATCCCAGCACTCAAGAGGCAGAGGCACGTGAATCTCTGTGAGTTCGAGGCCAGCCTGGTCTACAAGAGCTACTTCCATGACAGCCTCCAAAGTCACAGAGAAACCCTGTCTCAAAAATCCAAAAAAACCAAACAAAACAAAAATAAAAATATAAACAAAAACCTACAATAGGCTGTGTTCTCATGTCATGATAACAAGTCCCCTTCGTATGAAATTTCCCAGAATTGTTGAAGTTGAGAGACTGATGTAAGAAATCTCCCCATCCAGTATGAGAATAACTACTTTTGATCATTTTTCCATATGGCCATGATCTCTCCTTCAGTTCTTTTAAGTCCAGTGTTTTCTTTTCTGTAAGCATTTTAAACTTATCCCATCCTTGCATGTCGATATTTTCCCATACTATCCTATAAAATGGATATTTTCTTATTAGTTCACATCTTTAAGAAAACAATTATCCCCTGTTAGTGCAGCCTTGGAAATTTTCATGCCACTCCCTGTTGGGGACATATGAGCAACATTTACTTCAGAGAGGGTATCAACAAAAACAAAACTATTCTGCTTAGGTACAACTTGGTGAACCAGTAAGGTGCCTAATGTTACCTGTAGTAGTATGGGTGAAAGATTACTTTCAGGACTAGAGAACAAGCCTGGAGTGGGTTTTTGTGTCATGGGTCTGTCTTTGGGGGAAGAAGTGCCCTGAATATGGTGAATTTCAGGGGCCTCTTAAAGCTTTTCAGTCATTTACTTCCTGGGTCTCCCTTCAAATGGAACTATGCAAAGTTGATTTGTTTCACAGCATTCTCCCCCAATACACATGGTTTTCTTAAATGTATTTTTTATATACAATATAGTCAGTGTTCCTCTTAGGTCATAATTGTCAACAGCTTTGCATGCAAGTTTGTTTTTGTGCCAACCCCTCTACTTCTTACTCATAAATTTTTAACAAAGTGGGTAATATTTCCTATTAGTAATTAGCTACTGAGATCTTTGAGGAAGACCTGGGTGGAGTCATGTATTTTGCTCTGATTATGGTATGCCAGGTGCCATACAGAGCCTATGAATTCATGAAAAATTCTCCATGTTGTAAATATACACATAGTCAAGGGCTGATGTGTTTTAACATAAAAGGGATCTTTTTTGGCATGTAGAAGTTCCATGTTTTGTGTAAATAGATAGATAGATAGAGAAAGAAACACAGAAAGAAAGGAAGAAAGAAAGAAATGAATTCGAAGTACAGATACTGCTTTTACTTCCAGGAATGATCAAATCCAATGATAGATTATTTGGCTATCAGTCTCTGAAAATGTGTTGAATCCATGTGAAATTCAATACATTTAGTTTTGTAATGTTTTTAGAATGCAGTATTAGAGCATGCTCAGTCCTTGGTGGCTTTTTTCCTCCTGGCATTCAATTTGTTGCCCAACTCCCCTGGCTTTATGTTGGTGGATATTTGTCCACCTTTCTTTTATTGAAGGTCAATTTGTTCTTGGAGACATCAACCAGTTCCACAGTGGACCACTCAAACAGTATATGTTGGTCAGTTTTTTTTCACTTTGAAACAAACTCAAGTCACCTGTGAAGAGTGAACACAAAATTTTCGATTGTATCCATCAAACTTGTTTGTGGGTATGTGAATTAGGGTTACTATTACTGTATAGAAACACAATGACATAAAGTGTAGGGGGAAACTTAGTACTGCACCATTAGCCATGTGGCATAAAGATAAGGAATAAAAGGGCGGTTTACCACACTGCTAACCACACCCACTTTAAGCGTGACTAAAGAACTATACAGACATAGGGGGTGAACTAAGTCACTAGCCAGGCCCACTTTTGGCATGACTAGGGGCGTGTTCAGAGGAAGGAATAAAAGACTGAGCAGCAGAACCTCTTGCCTTTTTCTGCATCCAGTTCGGTGGCAGAAAACATCATTTGGTGTCAGGAGTTCCGGAACCTGGATCCAAGCACCATGAATGTGGCTGCTCCTCAGCCCAACCACCTGCATGCCCAGGCACACGTGAATTCTACTTTGGTTAAGTTTCTCACCAATTCACTCGGCAAGGCATGATTCCTGCCGCCGGGAACCAGCACCTTCTACCTGCCGGTAAGGTCAAGTTGTCTCTCGAGAGTTCCCTTGCGGCCATGTGCTCTTTCACTGGCAGCCTGCAGAATTCGTTCTGAATAAAACTCAACTAGTAATAAACTTAACTGCTTTATACAATAGCAACTAACATTACAATGCAGGATGTTAAGAACTTTTTTTTGCATGGATGGGATGTTAGAAAGGGTTGAGGACCTACCTGGAAGGTACTTTCTACCCACGATGGTGATTATTAGTTTCATAAATCATATAATTTTACTAAAGAAATGGTTCAAGAATAGGGCAAAAAATGGCAAACTTATACAGATCATATAGTCATCACAGGATGGTTATAAAATCCTAGTACAAAGAATTCAGGAAATGGAAAATTCCTTGCAGGATAGTAAGGAAGGTTTGGTAAAAAAATATTCAGGATATTCAAAATGATAATGTAGATCTGACAAACAGGTTTAAAGAGACAGAACATAAAATTGAATTAATTTCAGGAAAAAATGTGTTCCATATCTATCAATTCAATAGACAGAATAGAAAAAGTGGAACATTATGTTGAAATGTTTAACCAACAAAACTGTTCCCTGTTTGATGATTTCACTACCAAACTACAAAGACTGGAACATAAGATTGAAATGCTAACAGAAAAGATTTGTTCCATGTCTGAGCAATGACAAACTAGCTGATAGAACGTTATTTCTGGAAGGCAGTTTACATGCTATTGAGATACTCTTTAAGGATGAGAATATTAAATATTTGGAATCACATATAAATGATAAATGCAAACACATGAACGATTCTATAATGTCCTTGGAAAATTATGTGACCCAAGAACTTCAAGAGCTCAGAGAAGCAATGATCAATAGATTTGAGGTCTCAGAAGACATCCAATCTGATACTTCAGAATCAGACATACAGGGACACCTACAAATGCAGGAAATATCTCCCTAAGGATGTTATGCCCTCTCCTATGGTCTTCCCAGTATCTGTAACTGAAAAATCAGCAAGAAAAAAAGCACACAAATGATTTCATTGCTTATCAATGTGAACCTATGCAGATGAAGGATCTAAAGGGAATCAAGGAGGCCATTGTTTCATATGGTCTCCATTCTCCCTAAGTCAGAGAGCTCCTAACCTCATGGGCCACTGCAAATAGAGTAATCCCAAGAGACGGGCCCAATTGGCCTCAGAAGTACTCAAAAATTCATGTCAAATTCAATGGAGAGCTTTATGGAGGCAAGAGGTGAAAGCCATAGAGATTCATGGATTAAGGAATAGTTATGAAGCACCCCAAGACAATATTCTT